ATGAGTCTTCCGGGGGACGTCCGTTGGACATATTACGGACGTCTGGACATCCGTGAAACGTTTGTTCAGTAAAAAATTTATTTTACAAAAATCACTTTACTTATAAGGCAGTTAAATATTTTATATAAATATTTCACATAGAGGCGTGGCCACCCTTACCTTTGATTAATTAGACATAACTTTAGAAGCCAATTTCTACTTTTAATTAATTAGACACAACTTTGGAGGCCCATACATATCTTATTGATAAATCTAACTAAAAACTATTTTTTAAACTTATATATCTTTTGATTATAAAGAGCGAAGAATAAAAAAAAAGTCTAAAGTAAAAAAAAGTTACAATTTGATATGCAAAATGTCATAAAAATTGCGGATACTATGTTGGTAAAGATATTGGTTAAGATGATGAAATATAATGCTGGTAAAGATGATGAAATTGAGAAAACACGCAAAAAATTTTTTACAAAAATATAAATTGATGAAGAAAATGATCATAGAGTTGGATAAAGGTAATTGTACGATTTTTAACACTTTTGGTATTGATAATAATATATTGACATTTAAATACAATACATTTTAAACAATACATTATAATTAATATTAGTAGGTACCCATTTAATATTAATAACAATTTAATAGTAGTACCTATATAATATTATTAACAATTTAATTTTAAATAATAATGTTTTTATAGATGACTATAGATAAAACATTTTTATACTTTCATTAGTGGTAGTTTTCTTCTCAATTAAACAAAGCACCTAGAACGTCGCTTTTAAAAACATTTTAAAAGTTCTTTTTCAAATCTTAAAAATATTTTTAATCAAGGTTGCGCAAGTTTAAAATTAAATTTTTAAAAACGGCAACGGTGGTAATGATGTAATGTGGTAGCTATGATGGTAATAACGATAAGGAGTTGTCCATCAATTACGTCAACAAAAATAAGGGGGAGGGGGGATCTAAACTTTTTTGACAGTTGTTAACAAGGGGGAGGGGGGAGGTCAATCAAATTTGATGACAACAATTTTTTTTTTTTGAGTTTCATTGCCTAAATAAAGTTTTGTAGCGTAGTTTTTTTGTATGGGGGGAGGGGGTAATCAAATATTGATGTTATTTTATAGGAGGGGGGGTGGGAAGTCTCTGGAAATTTGACTAATTGTTGACAAGGGGAAGGGGGGAGGTAAAAATTTCAAAAAATTTGTTTAAAAAATACTAAAAACTTATATTACTAATTGTTCACAAGTGCTTTACTTTTTGTCTGACAAAAAGTAAAGCACTTGTAAAAATGTCAGTCATGAAAAATTCTATAAATATAAACTACCAATAAAATTCATTTTTTTTAAATCAGTGTTACTTTTCCGGGGAATTTGTCTAGTTTTAAAGAAGGCACTCGAGAGTAACGCGTTGATTAGCTGCCCAACGAGTCAACAGATAGAGCAATCTAACTCAAACCTAATTGGTAGGTTGCAAAAACATTTTCTAGAGTGACATTAAATTTTCAATGTCTTAAATGATATTTTATCAATTGTTAATAGTAAAAATGATGGTAATACGTCAGATAATCTTCTTCAGGTCTTTCTAGCATATCCAAGCAAACCAGAGCGTTAAAGACAGTAAGCCACCAGAAAGCAAAATTCTTCAAATTAATATACATCTGTGAAAATAGGACGCCCACCCGGCAACTTGATGAAGAAGAAAAACAAAAACAAGCTAAAGGCCTCTTCTTGATAAACTCTTTCGTTTTATCATCCGTAGACTGGCCGATATAGTAAAATGTATCAATCCTATCAAATTGGCTAAACAACAAAAAATTATCTAAGTAACCTTTAAATATCAAAAAATAATTGAACAAGAAATCAACTAGTCTGTCAATACGAACGCTTTCGGATCTGCTGCCGCACAGCACTTGCCTATTTCTACAAACAGCACTTGTGGCCGCAGACTATTTCTACAAACGCCAACACCAGCATCAAACTGCAAGTTACCACCAATACCAGTAACGCCCTCTACAAGTTTAATAAGTTTGGGTTTACAAAAAATGAAAAAACGTTCTCAACCATATTTTTACAGTGTTTAGTGCTGATAAATTTACCAACATAATTAACTACATTTTTTTAAGTGGTTTATTTGATTAAAATTTGTTCATTTGAACTTTGATATATATCTTTTTATTGATTATACATATATTTTTATTGATATATGTATTTTTTTATTATAGATAAACTTACACAAGCTTTTTTTGTTAAAACCAACTTACATATGAGCTAAAAAGTCTTTATCGGATAAACTACTTAAATGAAAAACCTAGGGGGGTAACAGGAGAAATTTTCAAAAAAAAGCGAGCCTAGTATAAATAGAAGTTTGAGTGTGTATATTGTAGAAATGAGTTTTTAAAAGTTAACTGCTATTGTACTAGATATCAATGCTCTCCATGTTTTTGATAACCAGTGGTACACAATACAATTATTATACATTCTATATTATTTAATCAATAATAAAC